GATAGCACTGATGCATCACCCTTCGTCACAGATTGCTTCATGGGCAACAGGCCAGCGGCAGGGACTCACGACACTCCGGTCTGGCGTCGGCTTCGTTCTGGCCAACGCCAGGTAGTAAGTGCAGCGTTTGTCCGCGGAACTTTGGCACAACTACTTCAAACAAAAGCTTGGCGACAGGAAGTCAGACAGGAGCAGGAGCAGAGTCACCTGACTTGAGTAAACCGGCCGCTGGCCCTTTGCTGTCGGCAGGCTGCGCGCCTGGGCCCTTTGGAAACTCATGTGACTGTAGCGATGCCTTGCAACACTTCGGAAGGACACGCGCCCACAGGGCCCGAACCAGATTCCAACAAACAGGTTCAAGCTTGCATGACTTGTCAACAAATTTGGCTTTTCACGCAAGCGATTGCTTGCAAGAGCACTTATGCAAACCAAGCTCGGCACCACACTGCCGCGAAGGCATTGCCTTCGCAACATGTTCTTTCCTCAGGAAATTCCGGACTCAGCAGGGTTGCCCCCGCCTCATCACAGGCCATGCTGTTTCTTCTGACTTTGTTTGAGACCGCAGTTTTAGCTGTGGAGACGTCGCTGAGGGCATGCGCCGCTGAGCAGGCGTACGTGGGTGGGTGCGCTTACTCGCGAGTGTGTGTTGATGCAGCGCAGAGCGGGTGCGCACGGGCGGGAGCTTTTCCATGTGGCAGGCGTGACTACAGCGCTGAGCGGGTGCGCGTAAATGGGTGCGCTTGTCATGTGGCTGGCGTGGATACAGCGCAAAGAGCGTAAAGTGCTGCGCTGGCCACACGAAGCAGGCCTGCTGAAACGGCGCGGAAACGCCTGTTCCAAGGTTCTGCTGCCGTGCACGCCTTGGCAGCGAAAATGACTTGTTTGACGCCCAAAGCACGAAATGCTGCGCCTGCAAAGCAAAATGCAAATGCCATGCACGCGCCGAAACGCGCTTTTACATGTCGTGGATCCAACAACAACTCAAGCAGCAGCAACAGCTGCAGCTACAATACGGCTGCAGTTGCGGCAGCAAATCATGACCGTGGGAACAAAAAACATGGCGTAAAGAGGAGTGGGTGGGTTAGTGCGTACATGTTTTATGCGTTATGGGCACCACAGGCAAGACGAAGGCGTTTCGAGGTTTGCCTTCGCAGGCTGTCGGATGGAAGTGCGCCGCGAGGCAGGGAACGGCAGCGGAACAATGTTGGGCTTGTCGAAACTAAGAGCTAGGTCCCCAAGCAGGCCCTTTTACCAACTTTGTTTGGGGAGGGTTCCCCTAAAATAAGCTACAGAAAAAGTTGGTACCCCTGTTCATCCTTATTTCTAATTTCTCCACTGGAGGACCTAGAAGAGGGTGCTTTTCCATGCATTCCAACAGGGAACCAGGGTTCCCGTCAGCGGTCTTGATCCAATATCGGTTTGCTTGCGTTCGTGTTCGGTGAATCAAAAAGCGCGGAGCGATCAGCCATATTCGATATGGCCTTTTCTGGATGCTCGTTTCATGAGGTCCCTTGTCCTCAAAGGTGGGTTCATCTAACCAAACCCCCCCGTTCGTGATTTCCCACGCGTAGTTGTCACAGGTTCTGAACCCCCCACATGCGGTGATGTTTCCATGAATTTTATTCAGGCTTGGGTGTGGGGAGATCAGTGCTGGCACGAGCTGTGGGGAACTTAGTGCTGGCATAAACAATGGAGATGCCTCGCATAATTGTTTTGCCCATGCTGTAGGCAATTTGGCTACCCCAAAGTTCTAGTGGTTTCTTTGTAGCAACTTACCTCTAGACCTGGCATCTTGTCAGCTCCTGGCATGTGTTTCTTTTGTCCCAGTATAAACCTTCTTGGGCCTTGCAAGCTAGAACCGCTTGGATTACGGACAGCTCAGGTCATGGCAACTATCAGCTTAAGAGACTGCCATACCGGCTGTGACCGTTGCAAATCAAAATCTACACGAACCAACATGAGCCCTTTTTGGCGCAAGGAAGTAGTCCAACAGCAGCCCACCGTGCCTTTGTCAAATTAGCCCCTGTAGCTAGACCTGCCTTCAGGTCTCAAAGGCACCTCATTTTTCCTATCTGGCTTCAGGCGACAAAAATGCGGGCCATGGCAGGCAATGCCGTCCTGCTGCACTCGGATGACGAGAGCGAGAGCTCCCGAAACCTGAGCATCTGCAGCCTGGACTCTGAGCTGTCGGGAGCTCAGGGACTGGTGGATTGCTAGCACTGGAATCCCGTCCGGGGTACTGACCGTAAGGGGGGGGCTGGGCAGTGACACGTTGAGACCCCGTCTGGGTTCCTTCGAGTGTTGCCAAAGCATTCCTTAGAAAAGCCTTAGGGAACCCCTCCCCTAAAAAATAGTAAAAGGAGAATTCAAAGAATTATTCTTTCTACTATTTTTTCTCCAACAGCAACACAACAAACAGAAAACAAAATCCAGAACAACAAGCAAACAAAATAAATAATCACAACCATCAACAAAAATATTTAATCACAGCATGCAACATTAAATAATTCAAACAAGCATACCAACAAAACAGCAACACTCTAAATCATCAAAGAACCCAAACTCAAAAACACACATCAACAAAAATCAAAGCAACATACCAACAAAAAATATCATAAGAGTATCAAACAAAACAAAAACAAACAGCCAAAGCACGAAAAATTTGAAGAAGCATGCCAAGTCTAAACAACGCACTTTGAAAGAGATAAGCAAATTATAATAATTCAATCTTTACAAACGATAAATATATTACAATTATAACATATAATATTTTACATGTGATAATCATAGTATGATTAAACCTGTTTTTAGTGTTTCCAGTCTCCTATGTTGTTCCAAGAACTGCTCAAAATGTTTCTGATATTATACCAGATTAAGCTAACGTCATAATCTTTCATTGGTGCTCTTTGTTGTATTAAATAACGCAACACTGATACCAAAGTATAATAATTAAAATGCATTGTTGTCATTCCTCCTCTTTCATTAATACTATTACCATTATGTTTAACGAGTTCTTCTTTCATTATGTTTTCGTAAATCTCTTTTATCCATTGATGATTTTGTTCTCCATACTCAGCGAACATATCTGGATATATATCTTTCATTGTTTTATCGTTTTTAATTATTTCAATGACTTGTTTATACGATGGATAGGGATTATCCTTAATGAAACTCAATATTATCTTTCTATCCTGTTCCAGCTCTTTTTCTGTCACTCCTATCATTGGCATTTTTCTCTTATTATATTAAGTCTGTATTCCTTTAAGTCATTTTACATTATAATTATAACATATAAGGGTATAAATGTTATAATCATTCCCCGATTTTATCAAAATCATTCCCCGATTTTATCAAAATCATTCCCCGATTTTATCAAAATCATTCCCCGATTTTATCAAAATCATTCCCCGATTTTATCAAAATCATTCCCCGATTTTATCAAAATAGGTGGTGGTTTGGTTCATTGCAATTGCATGTGCTCAAGTTGCAAGCCCAACCCCAAACTCAAAATCCTTAATCCGTCAAACTCACTAAGATTTCACAAATTAATTCGCTAGGTATTTTGTATAGGTCTTCTTGCTAAATAATTCTAATAAATTCATTTATTAGAATTATTTAGATATTATTTATTCAAATAATACATATACTCCATCATCATTTTTTGAAATTTTGTAAAATTCTAAAGTGGTGCTTTTAGGTTGTTTGATTTTTCCTGTATTCAACATATCACAGTATTTCTTTTGCTTTGTCGGGTAGTCGCCCGATGGTCTTCCTATAGATTTTGCTTGAAATATCTTTTCGATTTTTTCTTTATCTTCATTGCGTTCAACTGGTTTCATTTTGTCATCAATGGATTTAATCATATCATTTAAGGTTTTAATATTTTTACCAATTAATGTTATCTTCTTCATTAAATCATTAATAGTGTAATTCTCATTTTCAGACATTACTATATATTTATTTAGATAATTATTTATTTAATTATATATTTATAAAGTGCAATTATGTTAAATCTACTCTTTAAATACTAACTTATGTCCCTGTTAAAACTAACATTAATCAAATGTTCGTTAGTTTCAATAACCATATCACCATCTGTTCTTTTCTGAATATTAAAATCTTTATCTGTTTTTTTATAAGAAAACATACATGGGACACAACTAACTTTAACTCCGCCTTTCTTATCTACTGTCAATTCATTTTTAAAATTCATTATGTGATTACATTTATCACATTTTATAGTCTTACTTTCGCCTAGTGATTTAACACTTTCTGCTGTTTCTTTCCGTGCTTCAATATCTGGTACTGGTCTTTCTTTGTCTTTACTTTTTTTCTTTTTTCCCATTTATATTAGCATTTATATTTTTAATATATTGTATCAAAAACTTAATTAATTCTAAAATAAAATAACATATTTTTTTACATCTATTATCAGTTATTAGTACTTGTTCTATATTCTCCATTTCATCTATTATATTAATATAATCTGAATAACTCCTTTTCATATTAAATAATAAGATAAATTATTTTTAATTTCTGTCTTTCTTCTCTTGTAAAGTTTTTTCATTGTATCGTCCTTATTCCATCTATATCCCACAAATTTCTGATGATGTTTTGAATTTAGATGTTTAAATAAATATTTGTCATCATAAGTTTTACAACAATTGCAATGGATAACAGTCATATAATAATAAGATAAAATAATTATTTAAATTATTTAATCTTATTATTTTCATGCATGATAGAATATTCGGAGGGCACAGCACTTGGGGTTTTCATTGCACGCGAGAGAGATACAAACTAATTAGCTTCAATGCTTACTGATTGAAGCAATGGAAACCTGTTCCATTATGTTATTCACCGCCACTCATAACATAATGATGTTCCATTAATATTAAATAGAATATTTATTTAAATTATTTTCTTTAGCTTTAGTAAGTTTTAGTGCAGTTAGCATATCAACATCTAGAATATTATTATTAATAACTTCTTGTACACTATTTATCATTTCATCTGTATATATATTAGAATAATCTTTCATAAAATTTACTAACTTTCTAAAATTAAAATCTAGGTTATTGTCATTTTCAATTGCGGACTTGGATACTACGATATTATAATTTTTAATTCCAGATAAAAAGTATAACATCGTATCATAATATATTTGTACAGTATCTGGAACTAAGACATCACCAAATTTATATATCCTCCGAATACTAGCCACTTCACTTAAATTAATAGATTCTATAGCCATTATGATATAATTATATTATATATTTTTTTATTTATAAGTATTTATAATATTATTTTTATTATGCCTGATGTAAAACCAATTGATGAAATCAAATATGACTTTAAGCAAAGTAAGCATGAGGTCGTCCCTAAATTGCCAATGAGAGCTATGATTGTCGGTCCATCTGGAAGTGGAAAATCAACTTTACTTGTATCAATGATACTTGATATTTATAGAGGAGCATTTGAAAGAATTTTTATCTGGTCTCCATCTGTAAATTTAGATAGTATTTGGTTGCCTGTTAAAAAATACATTAAAGAAGGTTTGAAAGTAGATAATGATAAAGAACCGTGTTGGTGGGATGAGTTCAATGTTGAAGATTTAGAAAGAGTTATAGAAACTCAAAATAAAATAATTGAATACCAGAAAAAACAAGGAACGAAGAAATTATTTAATATTTTGGTAATTTTGGATGATGTATCTGATAATCCAGCAATAACAAGAAATAACAAATTGTTAAATTCTTTATTTTGTAGAGGTCGTCATAGTGGAATATCAACACTTGTAAGTCTTCAAAAATCATCAACCGTACCACCAATTATTAGGGTAAATATAAGTCATTTGTTTTATTATAAAGTTAGAAATTTTAAAGAGATAGAAATATTGCAAGATGAATTATCAGCAATTGTTAGAAGCGATAATTTACATGAAAGCAAGAAACTAATTTATAAAATATATGAGACTGCCACTGATGAACCGCATAGTTTTTTATATATTAACCTTTTAGAAAAGAATCCAGATAAAATGTTTATGAAAAAGTTTTCTCAATATTTGAAAATTACTAATTAAATAATTAAATAATTAAATAATTAAATATATATTAATATTATATGATATTTTATGATTTACCAATAGAAATTAAAAACATAGTATTATCTTATAATTTAGGTGATGTTAGATTATTAAAAATAAAAAATAGTAATATTATTAAAAATTATATTAATAAATATAAACCAGTTTATAAATCTTACAAATTAAATAACCTAGATTGTTTTGAAATTGATAATATCAATATTAATAATGGATTATCATATGTTTTTAATTTAAGTGAGTTAGATAAATTACATAAAATATATACACCATTAAATTTAATAATTGAATATGGGTTAATTATTACATCTACATCATCTAAATGTTTGAATCAAGATCGTTTTCGTACTATAACATCAAATAATTTATTTGATATTTATTATTATCTTAATAAATATCTTTATGAAATTGAATTAGTGTATAATGATAATATGGTTAATTTTATTTCATTACAAGTAAAAAAAATAACTATTAAAGTCATCAATGATGACTTTTATAAATATTTTTAAATTAATAATATTAATATATTTTTTGTAATATTATTAATTTAAAATTCAAAATAATGAATACGAACAGAGATTGAGAGCAGGTAATCTATATATTAATTTATCAGATTTTTCTTTTTCAATTTTACACATTCTTTCACTCATTTGTTTAATTGCTTTCAACTGTAATTTATCAATATTACTTAAATCTAATTGTTCTATATCAATATCATTAATTTTATCAATAGATGAAGTTTCAACATTACTATTTGAATTACCCATTATATATTATTATTTAGATTATAATATAATACAATAATAAATATTCAAAGGTATGCCATACAATAATAAATATTCAAAGAGATATGCAAAGGAATTAGAATAGGCCAACAAAAACCCCATGCAAAAGGAGCACATATCATACAACACTTATCGGTTCGTCTGTGGAATTCATCATCTCTTCTTTGTTTTTTTAATTCTTTAATTTTTTCATCAAATTTAGAATGACTAAAATTACATTCTTTATTATTACATTTATCTAATGTAAATTCATCTTTATTTAGCTTAGTAATTTTACAACCACAATAACAAGTTTTTT